TTAGCGGAGATATATAATGAGGCGACACAAGCAATAAATGTAAGTAATGAAAATACATAATCAACAATGACTGAGTATATATAGGCTTTCGCTTGTTGGTTTCATCATCCCTTCAGCGGCTCCAATCGTTTTTATCTATACTCCCAAATCTTTTTTCCGAGGGGAATGTCACATCTGGCCTCGAGGATTCATCCTGTGGCATTCCGCAGTATATTTCTTTCCCTAGCAAGCACTTAACTTATTGCTCGATCGCGTCGCCATCCGCGATAGGAATGTCTCAGCTGGCGTCGAGGAGCCTTTGTTGCATTCCGCATTTCTCATGCGAAATATTGCTCAATTGCATCGCGATCCGCGATATCTCCCAAGCTGAGAAGGAGTTCGACGTTTTCGGCTCTCCGGATGCCCAGCTAAGAGTAGACCATGCCAGAAATCCCACTGTCTGGCTGATTAAGTCGCTAGGTGGTTCCCTGATCCACATAGGTCAGCGATTGCTTGTGGTGACAGCTTGGCAGGACCCGGCAAGGCTGCTAAGTATTGGATTAATTTAATTGCTTGCACAGCATGTGTAAGAAAAAAGAATGTACGAAGAAAAAAGCCCTGCACAATGAATCAAACCTCCGGCGTCGAATGGCATCAAGACCAGTATTAGGTTGCACACGCCATGAATTTCGGACCAAAAGGACGTATTAACGACTCGCCATGGAGACTGCCTCATGCTCTGCACCTTCAACGCCAGGACAGTCTCCACCAATGCCGAACTCCACCCCCTTCTCGAAATGCACGGCGCATCAGCTACCACGTGATCGCCTTCCGGGAAACGAAATCAAGCTTCCTGTCAAAAGATGGAATCGATCACGAAGAGATTCCACACCAATCTCTTTCGCTCGTCAATACTCGTGTCAAACCTCGTTATTCCCAGTGGAGAAATACCACCACGGATTCTACTGCTGAAGTACGCGCCGCAATCCAGACCATGAAGGCAGCCACGGCTCCAGTACCGGACCACGTTTCGATCGATCTCTTACGAGCTGGAGGACATCGCCCACACAAGATATTTGCGGGACATCTAACGTGTTACCTTCAAAAGGAAAGGATCCCTGACAAGTGGTGAACTTCTCAAACAATCCTTCTTCATAAGGGCAAGGGTAAGATCTTCGGAACTACCGTCCAATATGGCTGCTGAGCCTGTTTCACAAGCTCTTCACGAAGATTATTCTCGTTTGTATGTCAAGGACACTGGATGAAGCCCAACCTGTAAAACACGCTGGATATCGCAAGGAATTCAGCTGCATGGATCAAATCCAGACAGTGTCGAGGATTATCGAGGTTTGGCGAGAGTACCGCCTACCTCTCTTCCTAACCTTCGTTGACTATGAGAAAGAGTTTGACAACGTTGAGATAATGCCATACTGTCAGCGCTCGTCGATCAAGAGCTGGCCCCATCTTGCGTGAGGAAATGGCTGCTTCTACAAGAACTGCTCTACGATGTACAGCTTCTTCACCACCCCTTAACATGCCAATCTTGAAGGGAGTTCGACAAG